GGCTCTCAAAAGAGATAAAATGAAAATGGGAAAGGCGCTAGTTTCATAAATCTACACAACTTGGAAATAGTAATCATAATTTAGATCCTTGATATTTGAAGGACAGGGTTGTTCCTGACTACTCAGATTTCAAGCAAGATGCTTAAGGAGCAGATGTATAGCTCCTGCTACAAAGCTCCTGCTACAGAAGATAATCAGGAGGGACTCGGTAGTCTGTGATGAACTAAAGGTTAAGACTGAATGTGCTCTTTTATTCTGATCATTTTTTCAATGTTTTAGTTTGAAATCTATTTCATTGTCTCCAGCTTTATAGACTTTACAGTATTTGGACTGTTATTAATCTCAGCCATTGAATTCTTTCTTTAAAAGTTCAATTTGTATTAAATTTATGTATAATCAATGCTGCTAATTTATTAATGTGAATTATGGTTCTATAATTATTTGAAGTGATTGACTATTCATCCTAACAACTATATCAATTCTATATTTTTTCCATTGATAAGCTTTTGTTTTCTATCTTAATTAAGTTTATCAAAAGGATTTAGCTATACATAATGATCGCATTCATCTTAGGGAATTTGTACTTATACATGCTGTATCTTGATTCGTTTTTTTTTTTTTTTCCACTCCTCTCCCCTCCCTTCAACCCCACTTCTCCTCTCTATTTAAAATGCTTAGTTTCCATTTTATCATTCTTTTTCTCCCTGGTTCCCTTTAACTTTTTGAAAAATTTCTTCTTGTTTCACAATATCTATTATATATTTTGGTCCTTATTTCCCAAACTAGGAAAACAAAATGATATTTTCACACATGACAGTTATTTCGCTTAAGAGTATGGTTTCTGGGTGCATCCATTTGCCTACAAATGTTTCAAGTTTTTCTTTCTTTATGGCTGAGTAATATATATATATATATATATATATATGTTGCTTGCCTTAGTTCTATAGATTGCATATGCTTTCAGTAAAGTTTATAATGTCCAAGATATCTGTCTGAAACTTTTTAATGGATTCTGTTTCTTTCCTATATTAGATATTCATGATTTCCAAAATTTTACTAAGCTCTTTTGTCTGATTTAATCTGTGTCTTTTATAGATTCACTAACAAGTCCTTCATTTGTTCATCATTTCTGACTTTCTCTATAGCCTCGTTGATTTTTTTTGTTTCTATTTCTGTTGTTATCATTTCAGAAAATTCAGTAGAATGGCTTCCAACATCCTCAATCTTGTCACCTGGACTTGTCATGAATGGACTGGAAGTCTGGCGTTACATTTTGCTTTGACTTCGTGTCATTTTGCAATATTTTACTTTCATATATTGTGTTGATACCTGTAAACTTTTTTATGTTAGACAATTTTATCATTAGTATTGAGGCTTCCCAAAGAAATGTGTATTCGTCAGAGATGTCTTGAAGACAAAGGTAGTCATTGGTCTTTGTGTCTGTCCCAAGATTCTATCTTCCCAACTTATTAGGGATGAGAAACTGCTATCTATTTGATTCAGCACCCAGTCTTTAGGTCTGGACTATGGTGACAGCTATGACATGAGGCAATGGTAGTGCTGTCATACAAGGAACAACAACTGATTACAACAGGTCTGCATCCTGGCTCCTGCAGGACAATCAGCAGTAATAACATCAAGCACAACCCAGAGCCTGATGAACCATGGTAACTATTAATGCAATTAAAGGTTAAATAGTACCTTTAACAAGCAGACAGAACATTTATATAACAAAATCCAACATAAACGAGGAACTTGTATGCAATGTTTCCTCTTAAAGTAATTTTACACTGTGTGTTGAAGGAGTGGGGCTGGTTTGAGGATATGTGACAAAAACAGAGAAACAAAAAAAGAGAAATATAGTAGAAACAAGGCTGGAATACAAAAGAATGATCATCCAAGTTTTGGGAAACTGCAACAGACAACAGGAGAGAAAGAGTGGAGAAAACAAAAGCATCCTAGAAGAATCAAAGACTAGATAATGCTTATTCATATGAAAATATAACAAAATCAAGAAACATAGTTGTAGAAAGAAAGGAAACCAACAGAACAAATATAAGAAAGGAAAAAAATCTTAAATCAGAGAGAGGAAAGAAAGAAAAGAAAAGAAAGAAAGAAGGAAAGAAAGGAAGGAAGGAAGGAAGGAAGAAAGAAAGAAAAAAGAAAGAAAGAAAGAAAGAAAGAAAGAAAGAAAGAAAGAAAGAAAGAAAGAAAGAAAAAGAAAGAAAAAGAAAAAGAAAAAATCAATCCTCTGGTGTCCACAGTTCTGTGGCAGTTCCTAAGACAAGGTACAAAACTCTGGGCAAGCCACCAAATCAGCCTTAGGACCAGCGCTGGGTGTGGGGCTGATCTTGGCCTCCACAAGCCAGGGCTGAGGCCAGGATCTTCAGCCAGCAGCTTTCCAAACGTCTCTCTGAGGCCTGCCCAGGTCCTCTTGCCCTGTCTCTATGTTGCTCTGCCAGCTGCTATTTTGTTCTCAGGCAGAGACAGCCTGGGACTACTCCAGTCCTGTGTACCCTCTCACTTCTTTCTTTGGCAGAGCCAGGGGCAGGTGGTGGTGGTGGGGAAGCGGGGTGCTGCAGCCACAGAGGAGGCGGCCCACGGCTGCTTGGTGCCCACTCAAATTCCTCGGCATGAGGCGAACGCTGATGGCCCACACTGCTGGGCTAAATCCGGAGCGTGTGCTTCTTCCTGATGACACCCCTTTGCAGGTCCGGAAGGAGCCTGATACTCCACTCACTAGTTTTAAGTATCTCATCATTGTCGCTAGAATAGGGGTTCCAAATAGCCACTAGGGGCATCTCACACACACACACACACACACACACACACACACACACACACACACACACACACACAGGAGGCAGAGGAAGACAAAAGGTGAAAGGAGCTCTAAACGTTAAATCTTTCCTGTGTGGCTTCCTTTAGCTATACTTTTGCATTCCATTATTTTGGAGAACTTTCCGCGATGGTTCCTACTCCTGGTACAGGCAGCTGCACCAGCTCGTGTGGGCTGGTTTGCCTTTTGCATTTATTGTTACAGTCTATGTCTATGTTTTACTTGATCTGCAAGACCTTGTTTGGGATTGATTCTGGCCTCAGCATGTATGTCCCTCCTTTTCTTCAGGTTGCCTGTGTATGTGGTTCATTTTCTCTGAGTAGATCCAAAGCTGTTCCTTCGCTGTTCAGCAGACATAGGTTTTACTGCTCATTATACACAGCATTTTTTTTCCTGCCTCTTTGGAGGTATCATAATTTGATCATTTAGTAGATGCTTCACATTTTATTTTGTTGAGTGAATATTTTTAAATGTCTATAAATGTTGAGTTTTGTTTGCAGATACAGTGAGTTTACTCAGAATGTATTTAAATGTTTGAAATAATCATTTTAAGGTTTATTTAATGGGAATAAAACATCATTTATTTTATAGTTGTTTCAGAAAGCTCATTCTACTGTAGCCAGTGCTCCATGAATTCTAATAGTATTGTTCTGTCATCATAAACTTCTGTCAAATTCTCTTTCCCTTGGACCAATTATACTTTACTTTTTATATTTAGGTAGTTTCCACATTTTCTTTGATTTCTTCTGTAATCTATCAAATCATTTGCATTTTGTTTTACATTTTTACTGTTCCATTTTTTAAAGTATGTGAGGCATTAAAATCTTTTCTATGTTTTGTATTTTAAAAAAGTTTTCAGTTTTGAATAGCATAATATTCTCATTTGTGATTGCTTGCTTAGAGAATTCTATTAGTGTGTTTTGATTATCTTTGTTTTCATTTTAGTTATATATATTGAATTGGAGTGATATCTTCCATTTTGAAATATTACATGACAAACTCTTTTAGAAGTACATTGCTTTACAAATTATTTAAATCTATTTAATTAGGGGCTGGGGATTTAGCTCAGCAGCATAAGCGCCTACCTTGCAAGCAGGCGGTCATGAGTTCAATCCCCAGTACCAATAAAAAGAAAAAAGAAAAAAAATTTAAAAATCTATTTAACTAATAAAGTGCAGTAGTTTTGATGGAAATGATAAATTTTTTCAATAAGAATATTTTGATTCACAAAATTTGTTTTAACATAAATTTCATATAGTTTATTTTTCTTATTAGGTATTTCTGGTACAGATTCTTGGTTTAAAAATTCCATCTTTTGTTAGGATAGTGTAATTCAATTTCTTTAAAAAATAGTATTTGTTTTTTTTTCTTTTTTCCCTACAACATACTTTCCAATTTTTGATAATTGTTTTGTTTTAAATGGCTTTCTACTCTTCTCTTTCTCCTTCCTCTGTAGAAAAATATTCTTACAAGTGTGTCACCTCCAATTCTACTGATTCGTGTATAACTCCAGGTGTAAGTGGCATGCATTACTAATTTCTAAATTTTTATTTAGTAAATTAGCTCTTAGTTTTGGATTTAACTTCAACGGGAAAGTTTTATGTCTAGTTTTACATTTGATCTTGTGTATGCCTCCCATATGTACTCTTCAGTATCCTCTTCTAGAGTGAATATTACCCCTCAAGAACTGGAAGTGATGATGCACACATGTAATTCCAGCACTCAAGAGGCTGAGGCAGGAGGATTGCTGAGAGTCTGAGGTCAGCCTGAGCTACATAGTGAGATCATGCCAACCTGAACTACATGGTTAGTCCTTGTCTCAAAAAAATTTTGCTCTCCAAAATACATATCCTAGTATCAAAGTAATTATATTTGAAATAGGATCTTGGCAGATAGGATCAACTTTAAAAGAAGTTTTATTGGACTGTGTAAGTCAATAGGGCTATAATTTCTAAAACAGGAAAGAATAAATTTCTATTTGTTTTAACCCACTCATTTGTGGTAATTTTCTAGTCTAGCCATTTTAATAAGATCCCAGGAAAATCATGGAAAAGAAAGGAATTTCTTGAAATTTGAACCAGTATTTAGCAAGGAAAGAAGGAAAATACTGGCCTGAGATTTCCCATATTCAATTTAGGATTTCCTTTTGGTATTATACTGTTGGGAGCCGTGGCACTGTCAAGTCATCAGACGCGGTGATTGCGAGGCCTGTGGGAAAGTACAAAAGCCTGGGCTAGATTACCCCTCTCATCGAGCCCGCCTGTGTGGCACCTGTTTCTTATCACCCCACTAAGTTCCCGCCTCACAGGGTAGTCTGCCTAGCTATTAATCCTATATATAGCCAGTGCCTCCACCCCCGAGAGAGAGAGAAGCACAAAAGGAGCCGCGGGGAGCGGACCGGTAGAGGCTTCGGGGGAGACTGAAGCACGGAAGGAGCCGCGGGGAGCGGACCAGTAGAGGCTTCGGGGGAGACTGAAGCACAAAAGGAGCCGCGGGGAGCAGACCGGTAGAGGCTTCGGGAGAGACTGAAGCACGGAAGGAGCCGCGGAGAGCGGACCGGTAGAGGCTTCGGGGCAGACTGTATAAGGAGAGAATAAAGAAAAGCCTGACCACCGCCAGACCTTGTCGTGTGTCTTTCCTGCCGGCCGGGAGCGGACATCGACATCGGCGGACATCGGCGGTGGACTGCATTCTCCTACACAGTGCTGCAGCTGCAGGACAGGTGAGTAGAGGATAAGCCTGGGCCCTGGGTGGCGCGCACCTACAGGGTTTGTAGACTCCTCTCAACCTCACGCGTAAGTGGCGGGTTTCTTGGGCCTCACGCGGTGAGTATGAAACATAACACCAGAACTTAAGGTAATAAAAGAGTGTAAAACATAAACATAGAAGTAAAAATAACAGAAGATATATTAAAAATGGGAAACATGCCAAGTAAAGATACACAGCCTTGGTGTTGGTCCTTCGGAGACTCCTAAAGTCCAAGGACCTCAAGGTGGGGCGTAAGACTTTAGAAAATTTCCTTGCAGAGATTGACAGCTTTGCTCCCTGGTTTCTGCCTACAGGGCATGTAAACCTGCCCTCCTGGGAAAAGTTGGGCAGAGACCTTTCCCTAGCAGAGCGGGAGGGTAGAGCTTCAGTCTCTGCTCGTCCATTGTGGGAAATGATACACGCGTGCCTAAAGAGTGAGGGTAGTTACGGGGGGAGCTCTCAAGAACTTGTAGAAGTACGCGAGGTGTTTGAACAGGCACAGTGAGGAAGCTCCCGACCGAGAAGGGTCCGTCAAGGAGGGCAGAGATACAAAAGAGGAAGCCGAGGCGCGGTTTGTGTCTTTCCGCAGGAATCGGGACGAGAGCCAATGTGGGTCCCAGAGAGGTTGACGCGACAAGTCCCTCGACTGAAGATCAGGCCTGTTCCGCCAGAGGCCAACCGCAGACCCAACAACAAGATGAGCCCTAAAAGAACTGCAGGACAATCCCTTTTTGGGGGCCTGGAACGGCTTGCTCCCCTATGTGCTACCCTTGTATACGCATGGCTCGCTCGCATGGCCTACGACCGCGTTTAAAAGTGACAGGCTTCCCACATTCTCCTCCCTAGACAACAACATGTAGCAGGGTGGGTGAGTCAATGACGGGTAAGAGTGTGCCTCCCCAGCACGACTCAACCTAAGCCAGGCCCTACCCCGTTCCGCTCGAAAGCCGCTGGATTGTTAGATAAATTTCTCTCCGAGGGGATTCGTGGAGAGAGATGAGTGCATGCCTATGTGCAACCAGGTTCCGTCCGGTTCATTCCTGGCCCTAGAAAAAAGGACGAGGGCCTCAGGGCCTTGGTGGACCCTGGGACGGCCGACCAGGGTCTACGCTAAGGGCCTACGGTGGGCCTCAGTTCGGGGCATAGGCCTCTGCACTCTATCCAGGACGGGCTGCGATGCGCGTAGCCATCATTTAAAATGGAATAGGGGGAGATGTTGGGAGCCGTGGCACTGTCAAGTCATCAGACGCGGTGATTGCGAGGCCTGTGGGAAAGTACAAAAGCCTGGGCTAGATTACCCCTCTCATCGAGCCCGCCTGTGTGGCACCTGTTTCTTATCACCCCACTAAGTTCCCGCCTCACAGGGTAGTCTGCCTAGCTATTAATCCTATATATAGCCAGTGCCTCCACCCCCGGGAGAGAGAGAGAAGCACGAAAGGAGCCGCGGGGAGCGGACCGGTAGAGGCTTCGAGAGAGACTGAAGCACAAAAGGAGCCGCGGGGAGCGGACCGGTAGAGGCTTCGGGGCAGACTGAAGCACGGAAGGAGCCGCGGAGAGCGGACCGGTAGAGGCTTCGGGGCAGACTGTATAAGGAGAGAATAAAGAAAAGCCTGACCACCGCCAGACCTTGTCGTGTGTCTTTCCTGCCGGCCGGGAGCGGACATCGACATTATACAAAGGCATTTCAGAACTTCTGTCAATCTTTTCTGCAAGCTTGTTATTTGGCCTCTTTTCTGTAATCATCATTTTCTATATACATTTACCATTGCATTTTAATGTAAGGTGAAGAAATACTTTCCTTTGTTATTGGACTTTCACTGTTATTTTTATTATTTTATACAGGTTTTTTTTTAAAGAATATGAAGCATATCTTGTTTTGGAGGACTGTGTATTCTGGATATTAAGCTGAATTTAATGATCAATAAAATTTCTGTAGTAATGGCGTCAGGAGAAATTTAGAGGGCAGACTATGGTGGATTTTTTTTTTCTGCCTGTTAAATGTTAATATGTTCTTTCTCATTGCCATGTGGATTGCAGTTCCTTGTTCATTTATATTATATCTACGTAGTGCAGATATAAGAGAAGTGTAGATATCTACCACACTTATTTGCAGTATAGTAGGTAATGAAGTGTTTCTGGTCATTTGAATGTGAGCAGGTACAGCTTATTTCCTATTAGTGACACTAATAATTGTAATGTTTCATCACCTCTCTGACTTTTCCTTCTGCCAATAACAGGCATGTTTCAAACAGAGGTTATTATTTTAGCTATATTTCAAAATGAAAAGATATGTGAAATACATTAGCAGCTGCAGATATAGTATTTACAAAAAAGTTTTTATGCTACTGAATATTTGGATCTATTTGTTACCACAGAAATTATTAAAAATACAATATCTAGAAACTGTACATATATCAACAATTACAAAGCTAATTTTAATATTTAAAAATAGTTAACAGGTAAAGCACAATTGTGTAAATATCTTCATATTTTTATATTTTGATTGTGTATTTTCCTACAGGTAAATATATTTAATTAGATTATATGACTGAGCATTTAATTTTGATTAATCTTCTTTCTTATAATTATTGTTAAATTGTATTTGTCAGTTTATGAAATGTATGACCATTGCAATATAACTTTTCAATGGCACATATCATGATTTTTAGCTTCTTTTCATATCCTTGAAACTTACATCATTCTCTGGCAAGATAAACAGAAATAAAAAGTATGTCAACTCTGAATTTAGATCTTCAGTGGGACTGAATACTTCTGCCAGTTTTTTTGGACTCACGCCACCTTTGCTCAGGATACCCTACTGGTGAAGGAAAGAGAAAGGATTTTAGAAACAGTTTACATTCACACAGAAGAGCCAATTATGTGCATTTCCCCCAACTTCACATTCAGTGACGTTTCATTGATGAATCAAAATTACTTCAGGGTTGAGATTTCATCAGGCTTTGTGGATCAAACTAATTTTAAATTTTATTTATCACAGTGAAGTCAATACAGCATTTAAAACTATGAATTCAGTCAATAATTCATCATTTAAAAAATATGAATTTTTGAAAACTCTCTCTGTCATTTTTGCTTGCAGAATGGCTGTTTTTTCGCCTTGAGCTTCTTTTCAAATAGCTACCTTAAAGGAACTATCAGCAAGTGAATTATTATTGGTAGCTAATCTTAATATGTAAATGTTTCTTGAAAATTTTATTTTACAAACTATTGAATTTAACAGCCAATGACACATAATTTATTTTTTTGTGGCAGCTCTCTACTTTCGATTCGGTGACTAGAGGTTTATCTCCATGTTATTTTTTTCAGAGAGTAAATTCATGTCTATGCCACTATCTGCAGAGATATAGTTTGTAACAGTAGAAATGAGACATGGAAAATTATGCCTTATTACCTGGTAGTTTCCATTCTAAAAACTTTTAAAAATGTGACTTTACATAATGCCTGATGTGGCAAAGAGTAGTCTTACAATTTCCCCAGGAAGAAGAGAGTGAAATCCAAGAATAACAGTGATCTTTACCATGGTAATCATTAAAAAGCATGCAATAAAAGAACATATATACATTATAAAAATCATGGTGCAGTCAGAAGAAAGACATGGAAGTTATTGAAGAAAATGTTCATTAGTTTTTTGGTGCATTGATATAATGACGTGCAGAGTGCAAGACTGGGTCTGAAAACAGTCCGCTCTTGGATGTTTGTCATAATAACGGCACCTATAACCAGTTAGTTTCAGTGACAGCAGCAGGGCTAAAGAAGAGAACTATAGCAGTTCCCAGATGAGGAACTTTTCACCATTTTGGGGAAAGACAAGAGAACCTAGGATGGCGAAATGGGGAAGAATAGACGAGCAACAGCTTTACTGTAACTCATGGGATAGACATCTTTTATCAATAGAAATACATGTCCATTAGAACAAGTATTACATTACGTTTTAAGATTTACCATCCACCTGTCTGCGACAGAAATGAGCTAAAATTTAGAAATGTGTTTTTAAAAACGTAGCATTGAAAGAGAATTACAATATGACTGAGGGCAGTGTTTTTACACATATAAAAAGTATCAGTTCTCATTGTTTGTGCGAGTTGTGCTCTAGAAAGCCACGGCAAAAGCTAAATTGGAAAATCGTAACCATTGTTCCTAAGGAAAATACAGAATCAGTTCCCAAGAAACTGATCATTTTATTAATTAGTCAATACACAGCTTTCTTTTATGTTGGTTTTTAAAGCCCTCATAATTAACATATACTTAAATCATTAGCATTGAACTCATGGACAGTGGCATTATTAGTCTTAAATAAGGTGCTTGAGTATACCTTATATATAACCTCACAGATTTACATTTAGAAACACTGCATACCACTTCATAATTATGCTTAGAGGTCATGTTAAGCAACAAGATAAACAACAGAAAACACATGTGATACAATGTGGTACAAAGTAGATTAAAAATTATATACTTGCTTAAATTATGTGGATGAAATACACAGACAAAAATACCTTTGTGTTTGACCTTATCTGTGAATATGCATGTTGGGAAACTCAAATTTATTGATCATCTGGGCATGTGTGTAAATGATCATAAAAGCACTAGATGAATTGATTTTGGAGCCAGAAGTAGGGTTAATCAAATAGGAAAATGTAAAATAAAGATATGGGAATCATGGAAATAAATTTTATATAAACATATCAATGATTGGCATATATGATGTGCCTTATGGGGAAGCATAGTCAAGTTACGATGATACAAAGGAATTTAAAATGAGTTTCATTGCCTAATGAAAAGGAATAGAGATACTGTAGCCAGATTTAAGTTTTAATCAATGTCACAACATACACTAACTCTGTGACCCTGGCATGTTCTCTTTCTGAGCCTGTTTTCTACTATGTATACTGGGAAACAATTTGCTTCTTTAGCTTATTGTGAAAATTAAATGCTAATATATGTGCTTAATGTTGTATATTAGTAATATTTATAATATTTCAGAGTAAGGTTGAAAATGGTGAATGTTTCCAACTAAAGTTGAAAAAGAAATTTGCTAGTCACGTGTAAATATTGGGATGTACAGTAAATCTAGGTAGAGAATATGTTGTACAGGAAAATAATGAATGGGAATTTACTTCTATTTATTGAGACATTTACGAGACCTAAATGTAGAAAGGTGAAAATATGGCTAATAAGTATGTCATAATCAAATTTATTGATTTAATAATATCATCAAACTGTTTCCAGCAGGGAAATAACTTTTATGTATATTCTTATTTTAAAGGTTTACTCTAGAAATACTGTGGAAAAAGTATTAAAGGGATATTGATAGAATTAACATAGACTACTGTTTTCAGTTTAAATTGCACATTCTGTAAGATTAAAAAAGTATAAGATTTTTTTTAAATGTCATAGGAGAGGAAAACAAGATATTGCTGTTACTGGAATATAAAGTTCTGAGTTTAAGAAACACTGTTTTGAAACATGATTAATTTTGGAAAAAAAAGCTAGTGATTCAAAATAGAATGAAAATACCTGAAAAACTGTCATAAAAACTAAAAACAAACAAACAAACAAAACATGTCACTGTTTCTGAAGTCTCCTACCTGTTCAGAGCCTAGTTCTGGAAAACAAATTTTGTTATGCAGAAGGAGCGATTCTAAAAGAACATGCTATTTAAAAAGGCTCTGATGGATCTTCTGGATTTGGAGGTTGATTAAGTACGTTTGTAGAGACTTTATGAAACAATATTGATTGAAAAACCTTGGAGAGAAATTACAAGGGGAGCTAAAGTAGGAAGAACATTGTCAAGTACAGATAAAGTGAGAACAAATAAGTAACATCACAATATAATTCTCCTGTGATTCATGAGATTTCATTGTACTGAGGCATAGAAATTATGTGTTGATCTGAAAAAATCTGAACTTTATTTTACTTCACTAAAATGTGCCTTAACTTTAAAAGAAAATCATCATCTATTGATTTTATCTCTGTGATTTATTTTAGTAAAAGAGGGCTATGTATGGTTAAAAGAAAATCAAATTAAACAACAAAAAGAAATGAACAAAATGAAACACTGTTTGAGTTTACTAGTTATTTCTAATTGTTTCAAAGTTTTGAGAGACTTTAAGACAGCCCAGCTGAAATAGTTCTAGTAACTGTGGAGCAGGGGCAGGCATTATAATCTCTGCATTACTGCTAGAAACCTTGAGGCACAAAACCATTTAAGTGATATGCCCAAGGTCACTGAGCAAGTCACTGCTGAGACCGAAAGCAGAATGCCAATTCTTCAGCTAGTTCTTTGTTTAGGAAACCATATTGGATCTTTTATTACTCTGAGGTGAAAATTTAGCTTCTTGACAGAAGGTTTTTTCCTACTTGTATGCCAACCTACAAAATCAACATTTAAAAAGACCATTGAATTGATATTAAATCAAATCATATTTCATGCTTCCGATTTTCAAACCACTCTTAGAAAAGTATTTTCTTGTTTAAGAGAAAAATATCCATAGATAGTTTTTCACTGTTATCATCTCAATTCATAACACTTTTCTCCCTCCTCTAAATATTTAATAGCTCTATTTAACAATGAATATGTTCTGGTTCTGCACAAGGCAATGCAA